AGCGGCGGTAGAAGGAGACGGACTCGTCAAAGGTGACGTCACGAGAGTGGAGGAAGCGGTGAGACGGCGGGTGGTAGAAAAGCCAGTCAGACGAGTCCAGGGGGAAACCGAGGAAGACACAGGGGACAGTGCGGGCAGTGAGCTTGTCCGTGCCAGAGGCACGAACGTGAGCAAGGCAGCCCCAGACGTGGAACGCAGACGCGTCACCGGGGGACCCGGTCCAAAGGAGGGTCGGCGAAACCTGCGGCCGCTGGGAGCGTGGCCACAGGTTAAGCTGGTGAGCCGCGTAGCGAACAGCGAACGGCCACAGAAAATGGGGGGCATCGGCATGGATTATGGAGGTACGGGCGACCTCCATGACCAAGCCGATGCGGCGCTCAGCAACCCCATTCTGCTGTGGCGAGTCCGGCAACGTGTACGACTGGGTGATGCCCTCCGCACGACAGAACTGTCCAAGCCGACCAGAGGCGAACTCGCCGCCACGGTCGGAGTGGAGACACAACACGGGGAGACCGCGGTGGAGACGCGCAGCCACAACCCACGGGAGAAGAACGTCGGGCACGTCGGCCTTCCGCTCCAGGGGAAACACCGTGGTGTAGCGCGTGTAGTCGTCGACGAGCACAAGGAAGTAGCGCTCACCGCGCGGTCCGGGGACGGGGGCAGGGCCCCAAACGTCCAAGTGCAGGGTCTGAAGGGGGGCAGTAGCAGGACGCAGCGAGGAGGAGTGAGGAGCACGGCGGAGCCGACCCTCGACGCAAGGCGTGCACGGTGGCGCAGTCGAGGGAGGAAGGGCAGGGAGCGACGCGGGGAGACCTAAGACAAGACCGTGCTGGGACATGTGACGCAGACGCGGGAGAGCAGGGTGACCTAAGCGGTGGTGCCAGAGAAGGGAGGGGTGAGTGAGGGACCGACACGAGCAAGCTGCAGCGACCTGGGAGGACGCACCAACCGGGGGGGAAGCGGTGTGTAGGGTAAACAGACCGGACACCGGGTCCCGGGGGAACGTCGCAAGGGGGGAACCTGAGACAGCCTCAGAACAGACAGCGAACCGCTCGTGCCCGGGGAACGTGGTGGTGACGCCGAGGTCCTGGAGACAGCCGACACCAACCAGGTTCCTGGAGAACGAGGGAACGTGGAGGCCAGTAAGGGAGCCCGAGGGAACTGCCGGACAAGGAAGGGACGTAGAACTGCGCGCGACGACCGGACCCGCAGAGGGGTCAGCGAGAGAGACAACAGCAGGTGCAGCAAGCGGCGTGAGCGTGGAACGGTCGCGGAAGAAGCAGGCAGAAGCACCAGAGTCGAGAGTGAAGGACAGCGACGCAGTGGCGGAGGCCGGGGATGGAGCCGGTGCAGCGACTAGACTAGGCAACCTAGGCAGTCCTACGCCTGTCGCAGCAGGGGAAGCTAAGCTACACAAGGGTGAAACACCTAAACTAGAGTACACAGGGTAGTAAGATACAGCAACACTAGAAGCGTCAGCATACAAAGCATGCAAAGCAGCACCTATCTGATCCATGTCTAACTCAAAGATCGGCACGCCCTGGCGGAGTAGGCTGTGCCAGTCAGGGAGGTCCGGGGCCGGGCCAAAGCGACGACGAAAAAGATCGTCGAGGCGGCGGAAACAGCGGGCGGTCGGGTGCGGGCGGCGGCACAGAGTGCCGCGGAGAGGCCCGGTCTGAAGCTGGTACTGGCAGGTCACAGCACTGGAGCCGCTGGTAGACGCCAAGCTGCGCGGGCCGCCACCACGGCCACCACCTCCGGAGGTGCCGGGCCAACCAGGCGGGAGACGAGCCCACGGCTGCGGCGGGTGCTGCTGGGATGGCGGCTGCGGCTGGGGCTGGTCCTGCTGCTGCTGGGGCTGCTGCTCCTGCCCACCGGTGGTAGTCCCCTCAGGCGGACTACCGTCACCACCACCACGACCACTACCACCTGCGTCACCACCCCTACCTCCCTGGCGGCCACGACCACCGCGACGCGAGCGCTGCTGCGGGTGGACAGCAGCAGCCGTCTCGGTAAGAGGGGTCGCCGTGGCGACCGCAGCCGAAACGTCAGTGAACGTGCACTGGGATGGGGCACAGCCGTGAAAGATAGAGACTGCCGGCGCACCGCTCGACTGAGCGATAGTGCGCTGGCGAGTCTCGATCTCAGTGAGGGTGTCGACAAAGGCGGTCAGGGTGAGGTCACCCGGGTGCTGGCTAAGAAAGTGGTCGCGAGCACTAGCGAGGCGGTCTGGCAGGCGCATAGCGATAAAATAGAGCGTCATGCAGAAAGGAGGGGGAGCGCAGTGAGCTGGGCAGCAGTGCTGGCAGTGCGATAGCGAGTCTCTAGGGCACGCAAATGAGTGGCAAAGTCTGCGACAGTAGGGAAGGCAGCCAGGTCTGGGAACAGCATCGGAAAGAGCAAGCGGCCAGCAGAAGCGGAGGCAGGGGTGGAATAGCGAGCAATAACGGCGTCTAAATAAGCTTTGGCCGTTTCAACAGTAGCAAAACGCGAGCGCTCAGACACAGGGAGGGCGTGACTAATAGCAACCTGAGCTACTGCATCGCGTGAGTCCCAGACCGCACAGGCCAGCGCAGCAGTAGAGAAAGCCTCACGGTCATCAGAGGAGGGGTCAGCAGGGAGGGGAGTAGGTGCAGGGGGACGGGGGAGCAAGCCATCAGCATGGACAACCAGAGAGTGGCCATCCTGGCGCTGACCTGTAAGCTGGCGGCGGAGATCGGAGAGCCAGGCGGCGAAGTCAACCGCGTGGCCCTCAGCGTCCAGGCGGAGCACAAAGTCAGCCATCGTGCAGGGTCAGCGGCACAGCTCCTCAGCGACACAGCGGCACAGCAGCACAGCTCCTCAGCGGCACAGGAGCACAGCGGCGCGGGGACACGGCGGCAGCACTCTCCAGTAGGGCAGCAGCTAGGCGTCCCAGCGCAGGCGAGCAGAAGACACAGGGCCCGAGAGGACACGGCAGGCCGAGCAGGGGAGGCGGGCAGGTGCTATGGGGCCGGGCTGGTGCTGGGAGGGGCCAGGCTGGTGCTGCTGGGGCCGGTCGGGCACGAGGAGGGGCCGGGCAGCGCTGAGGAGAGGCCGGGCGGCGCTAGGAAGGGGCCGGGCGGCACTAGGAGGAGGCCGGGCGGCACTAGGAGGAGGCCGAGCGGCACTAGGAGGCCAGGCAGGCGAGCGCTAACAGCAGGCGCGACAGGGGCCAGCGGGCGCGACGAGGCCTAAGGGGCGCGACGGGGCCCAGCGGGCACGACGGGGCCCAGGGGGGGCGCGACGGGGCCGAGGAGGCGCGACGGGGACCAGCGGGCACGACGGGGCCCAGGGGGGCCGCGACGGGGCCTAACGGGCGCGACGGGGCCCAGGGGGGGCGCGACGGGGCCTAGCAGGCGCGACGGGGCCTAGGAAGCGCGAAGGGGCCCAGCGGGCGCGACGGGGCCTAGGAGGCGCGACAGGGCCCAGCGGGCGCGACGGTGCCCAGAGGGGGCGCGACGGGGCCTAGGAGGCGCGACGGGGCCCAGCGGGCACGACAGGGCCTAGGAGGGGCGCGACGGGGCCGAACGGGCGCGACGGGGCCCAGAGGGGGGGGGACGCGACGGGGCTTAGGAGGCGCGACGATGCCTAGGAGGCACGACGGGGCTCAGCGGGCTCGACGGGGCCCATGGGGGGCGCGACGGGGCCTAGGAGGCGCAACGGGGCCCAGCGGGGGCGCGTTAGGGCCTAGGGGTCGCGACGGGGCCCAGCGGGCGCGATGGGGCCCAGGGGGAGCGCGACGGGGCCTAGGAGGCGCGACGGGGCCCAGCGGGCACGACGGGGCCCAGGGGGGGCGCGACGGGGCCTAACGAGCGCGACGGGGCCCAGGGGGGGCGCGACGGGGCCTAGGGGGCGCGACGGGGCCTAGGAGGCGCGACGGGCGGAAGCGGTAGGCGGGGGGATCCTAACCTAAGCGTGATACCATGTTAACGTAGAAACGAATGATTACTAGAGGTGGAAACCTAGAACAAATACTAGTTGGTTGTACTCACTAGAAGCATACCTCAGTCTAGCCTATAACTTCTACATAGATAATATGTATAAGTTGACAGCTGGTACCAGTCCTGATTGTCCAGGATTTTTCGAAAGGCATTTCCTGTTTTTTCAGCATTTTTTGGGGGGTCAACTCTGATTGCTAAGCAAAGTTTTCTTAACGAATCCTGAAATTTCAGCTTTGCAACGAAACTGTACTTGTTTCCGTCCAAGCGTGACCTGGGGGCCAGCAGAGATTTCCAAGGTTCTGGCCCGCCCTCCAGGCTCTGTGAGGGCGCTTATTGGCCCTTCACCAAATTCGTGGCTCGATGCGTGGGGGCAGTGTGAGGGAGGGCACTTGGTCCTTAGCCAAATTTTGGGCCCGATGTGTTCCTTAGAGCTTTGTATGGGCGAAATTTCCCTCAGCCCCTGCAATGTCGCCCACCTGACCCGATTCACCCTGCAAGCATAAATTCGCTACTAAAGCATGCGCTAAGAACCTCTAAGAAATCAGGAAAAACTCCATAAGTAACTCTGTCTGCTCAGGAAAAAAATATTTAGGAGTCCTGATTCACGAGGAATTTTTTTGGGACCAACCCTGAAAAATCAGAGAAAAACTCAGGGGGGATCCTGAGCGATCAGGGCTCCTAAAAACCAATCTAGGGGCCTGCTGTAGAGGGTACAACACCCCTCTGTTGAGTGACCCGCTTGGGTTGCCCTTGAGATCCTCGGGGAAAGGCCACAGGTGCAGAGCCTTGGGGGCTATGGGCGCACTTACCCGCTATTCAACAAGCCCTTTTAACCCAGTGGTTAGTGGCTGGCTTTCTGACACCCCCCTTGTATCCCTCTCTCGACTTTCCTAGTTCTCTTTTCTCTCGACATTCTCGCCTACCACCTAGATCTAGATCTCACGCCATATTCATGGCTTCACCTATTCCTACCTAGCCTAACTTCATGCCACGACATACTGTACTTGCCCAAGTCAGCAGATATTGAAGAAAAGGGCTCATTAGAAAAGAATGGTACCATGTGTTACAATCCGTGATAGAAATCACACGTAACTTAGCATACCGGTAAGCAAAAATGTGTGCGGGGGAGTAACTGTCACCTGAAGAGCAGTAGGGACAAGGAATTGGGGTGGTATAATGTAATGCCAGCAACTGTATAGTGGATTAGATCATATCAGATCAGACCAGAGCCATCTTCAAGAACCTTCTTTCAAAGGCCGTCTTCGTCCGCGTCTAGAGCAAATGCCCCAATCTTGGCCAGGAAAGTAGTTGACGTTGATGTGTCAATCATCTCGAACTCGCCCTCCTGCACGCACCACCATACGAGGCACCGGACCGGATCAAATCATGACGGTCTTCCGAGCACCTGGGATTGACAGGAGGAACAGCCCGCAACGGTAAGAGTGTTCTCTATCTACCAATGTGTGAGTACTTCGTGGTTAGAATAAAAGCGCATGCGGGAGGACATGGGGGATGACATGGGGGATGCCAGCCAGATAGGCATGGTAAAGGGGTAAAAGGTGGACATGCGAATGCAACCACGTGCCCATGGTACCTCTTCTCGTTTGAGTTGACTCAAAAGTCACCTTAAGGAGAACGTGTGGAAGGGACAACCAGCTCAGATACCAACCCCAGGATTCCACGTCCCACACTTGACCAGCTAAGGCGCAGGAAAAGGCGCTCACCATGGCAGCCTTGCTGATGTCAATCAGGGGGGCATGCGACATGTGCTCAAAGCCCGCACCTGGCAGCAGCACCAGGAGTTGTTGTTGGATCGACTGAGCTCTGTGAGCTATGCAGGTGGGGAGTGCTGAGTGCTCACCATGGCGCCCTTGCGGGTGTCGAGGGGACACATGGACGTGTACTCAAAGGTGGCTCCTGGCGGCAGCACCGGCTGCTGTCCCACCACCCCCGGTCCCCTGCGAGGAGACGAGGAGACAGGCCGGGAAGGGGCGGGGAGAGGGGGGGGGGGTGGGGGGGGGCAGAGGGGGGGTTGATAAGATGGGAGGGGAGACAAGGGCCTGGGGGCGATAAGAGGGGAAAGGAGGGTAAGGGAGGGGAAGGGAGAGGAGAGAAGAGGGGAGTGTAGAGAAGGACAGAGGACGCGCAGAAAGTGAGGGAGGGAGGGGAAGGGAGGGAAGAGCAGAAAGGTCAGGCCATGGTGGGATCGAGAGATGAAGAGGAGAGAAGGTGGGGAGAATGGATGGGCCCAAGAAGCAAAGGAGGGGAAGCGCAACTGGAACACAGATTCTCTCTTACTACGTGCGTGGCGGGTTGAAGCATAACTGGAATTAAGAGGCCCGGATTCTTAGTCGGCCCAAAAAGAGACAAAGTGGAGAAGGGTCGGGCTCCTGACTGCGTGGGTGATGGGTTGAAACGCAACTGACACTTGAGACAAAATCATTTGACATGTTTAAGTGCACCTAATGTACTCCTGCCAACCTGCCATGCTCCATCCCGTCCACAAAGCGTGCTGCCACCTGCGCACCTGACGTGCTCGACGCGCCCCTTGCCGTTGGTGATAAGCCAGTGGCGGTTGACCAGGCGCACGACGCGCGGGCCCTCGTTGGTGATGCGCACGCGGTACGCAAAGAAGAAGTGCGACCGCGCCGGGTCGCTGCGGTGCCGCACGAACACACTGCGCACCACCACTCGCACGCCCTGGGGGTTGGGGAGAAAGCAGGGACGCGGGGCGGGCGAGGGGGGAGGTGGGGGTGGGGGGGTTGGGATGGAGGGGGGAGAAACGGGAGGAGCACAAGGGAAGGGGTCAGGATCGCTGCGGTGCCGCACGTACACACTGCGCACCACCACACGCACGCCGTGCAGGATAGGGAGAGAGGCTAGGAGGCGGGAAGCGCACCTCAGTGAGCGTGTCGTGGTGCAGGAGGAAGCATCATTTGAAGCGGCTCAAACGGGTAGGGCGGGGCAAGAGAGAAAGCGCTAGTGCATTGAGGAAGGCTAGAGGGCGGGAAGCGCACCTCAGTGAGAGTGTCGCTGGTGCAGGAGGACGCGGGGAGAGCGGGCGGCGGCGGGGGGGGCGGAGCGATCCGCGCGAGCTCCGCCGACAGAGAGGCCGCCTCCTGATGGCAGGGACGGGCAGGTAGAAACGGGCAGGTAGGGATGCGCCGGGCATAGGGACGAAGGGGGGTGAATGGGTTCTTGAGAAATCTCAAAAATTGCTTTTCGAGAATGCTAATTAACCGATTCAACTCATAGAGACGCACGGGGGAGAGATAGGGGGAAGTGATTCGAATGCGGAGGTCAGTTTGGAGGGTAAGCGGAACAGAGCGAACGAAGGGGAAGGGTGGTGCGAGAAAAAGAGGGTTGTTTGGCGCTTTTGCGAGAGAAGGGATGTGTGTAGTGAAGGGCGCTTAAGTCAAGGCGAGGCAATGGCGCAAGAGGCTTGCAGCAGTTGGACCGCTAGTCGCTTGTTCGCTCGTGAACAAAGGGATCGCTGCATCTTCAACCAGACTGTTCTAGCTTCCGTCATCTCGCATGTAGCCCCTCTTCCCTCCCTTCTCCCCTCCCCTCCCACCTCACCTCGCCATTCCCGCCGCATGTACTCTGCTGCTGCTCTTAGACGTCACTTAACCTGATTCAAATAGGTTCTTTCGGAGCTCGCCTTATATCGAATCCCATGTTAGATCGAATCTCGTCTTATATCGGGTCTCACCTCGTACCGCTCCCCGGCGATCGCCGCCTCCAGCTGCTGCTTCAGTCGTCGCACGGGGTCCCGCGCCTCCACCTCCCGGATCGCGTCCCTCAGCCGAGCCGCCTCGCGGTAATTCTGCCCCGAGAGGAAAAAAAAGGGGGGGGGGGGGGGGGGGGGGGGCGGAGCGCCGGGAGACGAAAATCCAGCGGGAAGCGGGGTATAATATTACTCTTTCATTTCAAGGATTCGCAAAAACAACATGGGGTGTGTCCGTGAATAATCCGGGCAAAGGACGTGACGCAAAACGAAAGCGTGGGGGGGGGGGGGGGGAGGGGGGGACAGGGGGAGAAAGGGGAAGGAGGGGGGGTGGGGTTAACGTTCCTGAGAGATAACTTACCTCCTCCGCAGTGGCGTCTTTAAGTTGCTGTTCCAACACGGCGAGAATCTCCTCTATCTGCTGCTGCTCCTCCCGTTGTTGCGCCTCACTCGCCGCAGATCCCGCCTCCCGACCGCTGCTGGTATCACTTCTGGTGCTGCCGCCGCTTCCAAGCCCTCCTGCTTCCGTGCTCCCGCTATTGCTGCTGCTGCTGCTGCTAACTCCCGCATTCTCCACCTCCCCTCCGCCTGACCCGCCTTCTGCTGCGGCCGCTGATGTGACAGTAACGCGGGAGAACTGGTTACCATCACGTCGCCAGCGCGGGAGACGGGTTGTGGAGCGGGAGGCGGGAGCGGGGGTGACTGCAGAGGAGCCCCGTGAGAGGAACCGCGAGCCGTTGATTTCCGACTGGGCAATGCTGAAAGTCGCAGCGCAAGACACGGCGGAAGCTCCGGGGGACGATGCAGCGCAAGAGGCGGCGTAAGAAGCGGAAGAGGCGCGGTTAGTGGAGGCCGTGGAACCGGACGCATTACCGGATGCAATGGGACTCGTGTGAATGGCTGGACGACACGAGAGCTCCATGGTTAGCCTCGCGGTACTCTCAGGAGAATGAGTTTAGCCAGTGGATTCTGGATTGGATAGAGTTGAATATAATGTAAACAAGCACATCAGAAATGGCGAAATTCGCGAGGAGAATGTCCTAAAAAAACTCAGTGCGGTCTTGAAGTGATAGAGAGTGGTCTCAAAACTGGCGGTGGGAATTGTGGCGGAGCTGCTATGCTGTGAGGAGGACTGCGTTGTGGGAGTGCCTTAGGTTCGCGGGAACGGCGGCTGCGCAAAGTTAACCCGTGGAGGGCTAATGCTTGTCCACGTGCTCTCTGAGAGGCTTTAGTGAAGCCATCCGATCGAGATATCTATTCCCAACTAGTCGGAGATCCAATGGTTGGATTGTCTTCGGCAAGTTGGGTTATTGGGGGAATATTCCACCGCGAGCCTTTGAGTACAGTTCCGTTATTCGCGAACAGCTAGAGACTGTGTTGGCGAAAGAGTTCGACCAGGGCGAAGAGAGTTCGATACTGGCGAATCCAGTTGTGTAAGATCACAGCACGACCATAGCTGATGTGGCACTTGCTGCACCACCGAGAAGTGTGGGAACCTCGATTTATGAGCACACACCACTCGGTGAGAGCCACGTCAGGAGGCCTAAAACAATGAGTATAGGGCCGCAGGGCCGATGTGTGGAGGTGGTTTTGCCCCTGGCGTGGAGGTCCGGCGTGGAGGTGGCCTCCAAGCCTGCCCTTGGGGCAGGCCAAAACTAAAACCCATTCGGACCCGCATGCGCTCGGGCATGGCATCAACCCTAATCTCGCGCAGGCATCCGCGAGATTAGGGTTGATGCCATCCCCCCCCCCGCATGCCGGGCAGCCCATGGTTCTAGTTTTTCTGCCCGCACGAACCGAGCCGCGCGTCCCTTACCACCTGCCATCGCGCCCGAGCATACACCTCCTCGGGAGATGTCTTGATTCGATGAGGGTTGCCTTACGGGCCTAAAGTTTAACATGATGCTACAACAAGAACGCTCCATTAACAAAATTGCGAGTCCAACACAAAGGGAGAAAACCTCACCTAAGCTTGAATTCAGTTCAGAGCAACAGAGTACAGAACAGTACAGCTCCGTTGCTCATCATGTTGGCGCGCTGTCGTCACCAATTTCTTGAACTTTCGGGGAAGACCAAGGTTATGCCAGAAGCCTCAACAACTATCATGATCAGTACAGTACACCTAGCTCGCGGTAATTTAACACCCAGTATTTTCACAGAGGGTGCCGCCGAGAGGATATTTACCCCCCGAAAGCAGCTCCTGAAGACCAGATCTAAATACTCTTGGAAAACAATTTTAGCTTAGGTTTCTATACGACAATTTATACTTCTCGATTTAGCATTTCTCAAGTCAGGAAACCCGACATCGGCTTAGGCAGTTCTCAAAATTTTCGCCCAAAGGGGAGTCTGCCGCGATTAGACCGTATGAACAAGGGAGTATTGTCTACGCACTCAGAGATGGTCAGGGTGGAAACAAAGTTTTTGCTGCCGCTCAATTTCAGGGTGTAAAATTACCGCGGTCTAGGTGTACTGCCGCTTGCATTCTGGCATCACTATCTGTACATCAGGGGCAGATGAATACAGGAGAGTAAAACCACCCCTTCAGTGTTTCATGCATACAGAATAGTGCACTCAGCCGAGCCTGTTTCTCACTGGATGGGTTTTAGCAACGCTCCTGCCATTTCGCGGCGATTGGAGGTTTGGATTGATTGGGATGACGGGAACTGGCATTACACGTGGGACAACCAACTTAGGGTGATGCCGCGTGGAGATATGCTTGCAGGACTCTAGCGAATCACCTTTATCCAAACCAGTCCCCCCGATTCTACCACCAATCGTCGACCGCGAGAAAAGTAAGCAAGTGTGTAAAATCAGCGAATCACAGGGCCGCTGGAAACGAACCGTGCCCTTGTTCGGTGTCTCCTTCAGGGCTTTACACACCCCGTTGGCTAGAAAACCATAGCCGCTTCCGTCAACATCCACCCATCTGTCATCCTGCGCCCAAGGGCTTGGGAGGCAGCTCAGCCACCACAAAGAAAACGATAACTTTTACAAAACGAGAGCGTGGCCAGTGTCGTGGTGTTGCGCTGCATGGCCCCTCATATGTCAGGGTATTATTCCCGTCGCGTCCTCCTCCGTAGAATCCACCCGTAGTGTGAACATCTCAAACAACTACAAATAATCCCGCCTTGGAAATTAGCAGAAAATCCTGCTGGAATCCCGAATGTCAGGGGCTGTCAGCCCATAATTTCTCACCGAACGACTGCCACCAGAATCGCTGGATAATCCTCCTCCGTCCATCTGTCGATGGCGTGGTTGACTGAGGCCTCCCAGCAAAATCCTTCCAAGTCTCCCCCGAGCCGACTGACCACCCCATCCCATCCCATCCAGGCCTCTCGATAACCTAGGGGACACCCTGCAGAATCCGAGTTTGCCCGGGATTCAACTCGTCCAGGCTGGGTAGCCCTAAAACTTTTGACTGTTTTTGCAGGCCAGAGTTTCGACCAGCTCGGAATGTGCTACTCCTGACAATGACAGGGGGGGGCATTTTTAATAGAGGTGCGAACTTTTACGTTAGATTTGACTGGGTGAGTCCATCCCCTACTCGAAAATCGGCCGTGGGAAGATTTTGGCTTGCCCGTCCATGGACGGGTATCGATATTCTGAATGCGTCAAAAGCAGGGCTAGGTCGAAACTGCACCTTGTTTTCCTTGACAAAGCAGTGTAATTACCCTGACTTCCAGAGGCCTGATCCCATCCCATCCATCCAAGCTCTCATTGCCCCCTATCCATCTCTCCTCAGCCGTTGTCACATCATCAACATCACACATCGAACGCAACCAACAACCCCTCCCCCCGTCGCCCTCACCTTCCTCCTTACAGAGTCACCGAGTCACGGAACCGAATCCAAACCACTGTTGCTGCCTTCCCTTGCCTCTGGCAGCAGGACCCTCACCAACTTCCATCCGCCGAGTTCACCCCACCAACGTCTCCGAACCGAACCGAACCATCCGCGCCGAACCTGCGCAGCCCAACACATCAACCTCCGCCGAACGTACTGCTTCCATCCGCAACCTTCCTTCATTCTGGCGTGACGCTGCGAGCGGAGCGGAGGGGAGCAGCAATCGGCCTGGTTGGTTTGGTTTGGTGGGTTGGGCTGTTCCTCTCGGTGAAGGGCTGCTTGCTGCTTGCTGCTCGCTTTGCGTGTGGGATGGACAACCCTGTTTCACGCTTTTAGTTTCGCGTCCTCCCCACTTTATATGCCTTCAGTTCCTCACATTCCCCAGCAACGTCTCCCCAGTTACTACCACCATCCATTCAGGTTTCGCACATCTGCTCTATTTGCTTCTTGACTGGTAGCCTTCTCAGATCTGCTTTAGTTCTAGCCTTCGGTTCATAACTAAGCTTAGGTTCCGTGTACGTCGTCAAACGATTATTTTCATGGCTCAGGACGGCTGGAAGAGGGAGCAAGGCTCTGCTGGCTGCCAGCAGTCCGACCGCGGCATCCTATGTGCAAACAACTGCGGGTTCTTCGGTAGTGCGACGACGCTTAACATGTGCTCCAAGTGTTACACTGCACATATAACGAAAACCATGCAAGCAGCAGCGACGGCGACAGCCTCTGCTCCTTCCGCTTCGCCCTCAGCCTCTCCCTCTCCCTCTCCCTCCACCTCCACTCCTCAAGTATCAGCTATCACGATGACGCCTGTCCCCGTCACATCTTTCAGATCTTCTGCTCCTGAAGCCACGTCATCAGCCATGGGAACCCCTCCGGTTCGGACGTCGGAGTGCCTGGGAGAGTCAAGTTCGTCGCCGTCGCTTGTCACGCCATCCTCCACCATCTCCACCACCTTCGCTTCGCTTGCTGTTCCCGGAGCTGCACGGTCGGGATGCTCTGGAGCGGGGTCAGCCTCGGCTGCTGCTGCTGGCGGGTCGGTCGCGTCGTCCGCTGTGTCGTCGCACTGCTCGCCTCCTCGTCCCGTGAATCGCTGCGGGAAGTGCAACCGTCGCGTGGGTCTGACCGGCTTTAAGTGCCGCTGCGACGGAGTTTTCTGCTCGGCGCATCGCTACTCGGACCGACACGAGTGCACCTTCGACTATAAGACAGCCGGCCGTGCTCTCATCGCCAAGGCTAATCCTGTCGTTAAGGCTGACAAGGTCGACCGGATCTGAACGTTTCATGGCTGTCTTCAGAGGCTCGATGGTGAACCCCGAAGAATGGTTCAGATCGTGTGGAGTTTTTAAGGACCACCTTAAGTTGTTGGCGATGCATCCTTGTCTGACGATCTCTCGTTTGCAACAGAGTACGGTATCTTGAGGAGTCTTGAGTGCGTCAAGGTCTTCCAGAAGGCACGGCTTGCTGCTGTTGAGGCACGGTCTTGCTGCAGGAAGGCCTAGGCGCGCATGCTCCACGTTCCCCTGCGTGGTGGGCTGGTGTTCTGGGAGAGCAGCATTGATGGATGGTGTCTGCCAAGCCAACACGGTGTAGGCCTAGCCGCTCTGTGATTTCTTGTGGATGCTGAAACATTTTCTCTTTGCCTCGGATCTGTGAACGTGGATTTGTGATGCCATGATGAATAGCAGCAGTGATGTCTAAATGCTCCATATAGTACTGAAAGGCACTAAAGACGCCTAGTAGAAACCACATTTTCTTGACGCCCTTGGTTGTGGACGTCCTTGTCCACAAATACTTCCAGATAGTAAGATTACCCCATCACTTCGTCCCCATCAAGTGATAGCCATCACTCTTTTCTGGACAACTGAGCCATCACTCATAGCATGATACTCCTCCTGTGGCTGCTTGCAGCACATCATAAGATGTTGACATGACAGGCAGCTCACTTCCGTCATACTGTATATAATGGTTTCTGATAAAAAATCACCGTTCCGCACGTCATTCATCAAACTTGACTATCGTTTTCAGGCTCGATTTCGGACCGGCAGGTGATAAGAAAGCGTCTGCGAGCAGCCTTGCTTGCAGGCGTTCTTTCTTGCGCTCCCTACGAGATCGATACTAGTGGAGGGTGTTGTTCGCAAGCCAAGCAAGCATGGCAGATATACTCGATGACATGGTGATCGTCGGCCGGGTAACTGAGGGAGAGGCGACGCCTGAGTCTGAGACGATCCCACCGTCATCACAGCATCAGCAGCAGCAGCAGCAGCAGCAGCAGCAGCAGCAGCAGCAGCAGCAGCAGCCAACGTCGCAGGCAGGAGAATCAGCTGGAGCGGGAGCCTCGGAAGGAACTACTTTAGACGATGAATTTGAAACCGTGTCGTTTCACGACGAGACTGGTAACCACCGCGATGCCGTCGACGAGGGTGGCGACGGCGAAATCCGCGACGAATCGGCGACGGCGAGCGACAGATCGGCAGCTGCAGCAGCAGCTGCTGCGGATGCCATCGCAGCGGCGTCCGCCTCGTCGGCTGCTGCTGCTGCGGCTGCAGCGGTGGCTGAAGGCGAGAGGACGAGCCTGATTGCGCCGGAATACCCCATGGTAAGGCGAATCTCACTAGTGAAAGCGGAATAACTTTTGAGTCGACTCAAAAGTTACCCCATGGTAAGGCGAATCCGAATCTCCCTAGTGAAAGCGGAGTATTCCATGGTGGTACGCCGAACGTGACCATAGTAAAAGCGGAGTATGCTTTGGTACGCCGAATCTGACCATAGTGAACCTAACCGTAATCCGGCGTGCGAAAGAAAAGCGTTCTGAGTGTGTTTACTCACTCCCGTGAGAGTTAATCGGGCAGCGCACATCCGACTGTCTACACCGTAAATCAGTTAGAACCCTACATTATGCACTTACCGTCCGTCTGCTCTACCGTCGCCCTCGTTAACGCTCACTATTTTTTTCATCATCCATTTCTGAAACACATTACTTCCCCCTCTTCCGTCCTCTTCTCCCGCCTCTTGTCCTAATATTGCCCTCCCCTTCCTCCTCCCTCGCTTCTCATTGCCTTATCGCTTTCCTTTCCCTCGTCCCCTTCCTTCTCCCCTCCTTCCCCACCACAGACCATGACCAGCATTGCCATAACAGCAGTTATCAACGACTTCATTGCCATAACAGCAGTTATCAACGACTTCATTGCCATAACAGCATACCAGCAGTTATCCCCTCCTTCCTACCCACATTTCCCCCTCTCGTCCTCCCCGCAGATCACGACCGCCATTGCCATCACGAGAAGTCAATTAGCATATGCGTGCCTCCAACCTCTCTCCCCTCCAGCTCTCTCCCACCAACCTCTCTCCCACCAACCCTCCTCACCCCCCCCCCCACTCCCTGTCCATGACCCTCTTTCCCCCCACCATTCCTTCCCCCCCCTTTTCCCCCAACTTCCCCCCCCCTCTCCCCCACACATGCAGACCATGAGCGGTGTTGGCATCACGGGTAGCCTCGAACGAGTGGGCGACGGTGAGGATGGGGAGTTGGACGACCACGTGATCCACCTCAAGTCCAAGGACGACAACCAGGCGCATGTAGTGCTTTCCGCCCCCTTCTCTCTCTCTCTCTCTCTCAACCAAATCCCCCCCACTCCCTCCCCACTATCTCCCCCTTCGCCCTCCCCACCACTCTCCGCCCCCCTCTGGCGTACACCCCGCAGACCATGAGCGGCGTTGACATCACAGGAAGTCTAGACCGAGTGGGCGACGGCGACGACGGCGAGTCGGACGACCACGTGATCCGCCTCAAGTTCAAGGACGACAACCAGGCGCGCGACTGGGAGGGCGGCCTCTGCCAGTGCTGGTACCGCGACACGCTCCCTCTCTGCGCAGTTACCGCCGTCCTCCCCTGCATCACCTTCGCGAGGATCGTCAACCGGGCCCGGCTCGGCGATGGGTTTCAAGCGGGGGTGCAGTTCCTGGTGCTGTTTCTTCTCGTGGGCTTTGTGACGTTCTTCTTTCAGATTGTCGGGGGTGGGTGGCGGGATGCGGACGGGAAGCTCCAGATTTCCGGCTGGGCGTTGTTTCTGCAGAGCGTGGCCATGTGGGGGGCTATTATCGGGTTCTCGTTTTGGCTCGGCAAGTGGCGCGCGGACGTGCGGCGGAGGCTCGGGATCCGAGGCTCGGGAGCGGAGGATTTCTGCGTGATGTTTTGCTGTACGAACTGCTCTCTGTGCCAGCAGGCCCGCACTATAGATGCTGCTATGGCGTCTGGGTTGAGCGGAAGTGGGGGCGGGGTGAGAGGGGATGTGATTGGAGGGGGGGATGAGGAAGCAGGGATGACAGGGGCAGCAGGGGAGGGGGGTGCGTGGGAGGGAGGCATGGGAGGGTATGGTGGCGGGGGTTCTTGGGGAGGGGGGGGGTGTGGGAGAAGGTTACGACCTGGAGCAGGGAGCGAGGGGGGTGGGGAGGGGCGGGATGGGGTAGCATGAGGTCGGGGAGTGAGCGGAGTGAGAGGGTGGGTGGTGGTGCAGGGAGCAGTGGGAGGGGGGGTGGGGAGGTGGAGATGGGGGAGGGAGGGGAGGAGATGAAGGCTGGTGGGGGGCTGGTTCTCTTCTCCATGCCGGCCAGATGGCAACCCACCACGTCAGCATGGCACCCCACCACCACTGACGTCGAGATCTGATCGTGATCTGGTTGTGATCTGATTGTGATTCTGTTGAATGTTCGGCTCCAGTGCTGCAGCGTGAGTGGAAGAATTCCAAAAGAGGAGTTCTCTAGGTAGAGGGCTAGGTGGGGAAAAGTGGGGGGGAGTTTGGGGGGGGGGTGGGGGGGGGATGGGGGGAAGAGCTTGTGTGGGGGTTGGAAGGTGGGGTGGGGTGGGAAATAGTTTACGGGGAGGGGAAAGTTGGCGCCAGTGCTGCTCTAAGATGAGAGCTCAAGAAAGCTTTCTTACTGGCAATTTCTCTGTGTTTGCTGTACGTTGTATCCTTCACAGCTGCCACCCTTAAATGTAGCTAGCAATGTACGATTACCCGTTGGGTGTCTAAGGGGCTGCTTGTATTTGCCGTAAGCAGAAACACATGTTCATAGTGTAATGTGTGGCATGTGCAGGTGGGGTGGAAACTCGTATCAAAGCAGATAGTAACTGTAGTATTTACTATTCCACAAGCCATTTCTAGACAGATAGAACTCCGACTGGTCTGAACTCGCAGTCGCACACACGCACACAGCACACACAACAAACACTACACGCAAAAGATATACACATCTTAAGAGGGACGCAACCAGCAGACACTAGCTGCCCCCCCGCAGCAGCCCGAGCAGCTAGAGCCACCGCGTGTCCTACACACAGCTCAAGGTGGCTAAGAGAGTGCGCAGCATGCCTCTCCTGTGATGGCCAGCAGAATCCGCCTCCCCGCTGTGCTGTCTGTCAGTCACGCATGCCTGTAAGACCATCCGTGCGTGTCGCCATAGAGCGGTGACCCTACACTCCACCCCACTTCACTCGTCTGGTTCTCGTCACCACCAGCGCCTTATCTTTTCCATGCAGGGTGCAACGGCCCTACAACGTTGCAGCATGGACGTTTAACAATCCGTGCACCTCCTCACATGTTCCTATTGAAGTAACCAAGCTTTGGACTGTTGGAACAGTTGCTTCCTCCCCACGACTAACGACAATCACGGGCTTTCTCTATCCACAATCACGAGCTTCGTTCCACCCACCCCCCTTCCCCCCGGCATCATCACCCGAGGAAGTCCACGTAGCCAGTGAAGAACGCGACGGCGAGGATCACCAGCGGGGGGCCCAGGACCAGCGCGCCGATCGTCGCGAACAGGGGGGAGTCGTTCCGCTCCCCGACCCGGCTCAGCAGCGTCGCGCGCGCCAGGTTGCGCTTCTGCGCGGGCGTCCACGCGGCGAGCGGGTACGACGCGGAGAGCACGCGGCGGCGGCCGCCCAGGGGGAGCGGAATGGCGGTGCCGTCGGGGAGGGAGGCGGGGGAGGAGATCTGCAGCTGCAGCTTCTGCGCCACGGTCAGGCGCGGACCGGCGGAGTCTGGGGGGGGGGGGGGGAGGGAGCGAGAGAGGTGCGACGGGGAGGGAGGGAGTGAGGGAGGGGGAGTGAGGGAGGGGGGAGTGAGGGAGGGGGGGAGTGAGGGAGGGGGGGAGTGAGGGAGGGGGGGAGTGAGGGAGGGGGGGAGTGAGGGAGGGGGGGAGTGAGGGAGGGGGGAGTGAGGGAGGGCGGGAGTGAGGGAGGGCGGGAGTGAGGGAGGGCGGGAGTGAGGGAGGGCGGGAGTGAGGGAGGGCGGGAGTGAGGGAGGGCGGGAGTGAGGGAGGGCGGGAGTGAGGGAGGGCGGGAGTGAGGGAGGGGCGGGAGTGAGGGAGGGGGGAGTGAGGGAGGGGGGGAGTGAGGGAGGGGGGAGTGAGGGAGGGGGGAGTGAGGGAATTACGAGCGTTATTTTTTACTCCTCAAAATCATCGATGGAGTTACGTGATTACTAGTGGTGTGCTTGCACTGCCCTAACACCCTCCAAGGAGTGCTTGCTGCTTTAAACAGTTCTGTTCATGTTAGCCTTGTGCGTCCATACCCATAAAAGCACGTCACTCGGTGATTCTCCCATGCCAATCGGCCGTACGACACCCACGCGTACCCCATCTCCCTCGCATACCTTCGCCCTCAGAATCTGAATTCGTCGCAGGCGACGTAGCTCCAGTCGCATCTGTCGCTTGCGTCGCTTCTGTCACTCCCTTGATCTCCCCAGCGTCTGCGCGAGCGAGCACTGAGCCTCGACGACCCCGGGAGGAAACCGCGGATTGTTGCGCGGATTCGCGGAGAGCAGACGCGGAGGACGCTGCGCTCGGGTGGGGAAGTAGACGATTGCGCAATCCGGTACGCAGTGGTAGAAGGGGGCCGGCGGTAGTCGCAGAAGGGGCGAGAGCAGCAGAAGCGGTGGCAGCGGCGGGAGCGGAGGTGAGCCGCGCGGACGGCGCTAGCGTTGCGGCGGCGAGCGCGGCCATGAGGGCGCGGCGGATTCAGTAGCTGTTACCGTGTGGCGCGGAGTCGGAAGAGACCAAGCCAAGCGGGAGATACGGTACTTAGTTTCTGAACCAGCAAGAATTGGCGGGACGATCGGTCTCCGCGTTGCCACGGATGGCCGAGATCCTCAAGCCGCAATAGCACACGGAAAAAACGCGCTGAATCGACGACAGGGGACGAGAAAATGACAAATTGAAGCAATCTTGGTCACTTTATTGAAGGAAGTTGGAGGGGGAGTGGGTGGGGAGGGGGGAAGATGGGTGGGGGGGGGGGGGTGGGGGGAGAGGCACGCAGAGTTGCTGAGTGTGCCAAGTGAGCTGTAGTTTCGTTTGAGCCGAGACGACTCAAATGAAACACCTGCATTTGTCGGTCGAGGGCAGGCGAAAACAACGTGTGGGGGAAATCACAACCAGATTCCAGAGGCCAGAGCCCAGCCGGTCACTTTACGAAAAGATAATCGAAGAAAGAAGCGCTTCGGCGGATGGAATCTCCGTGCTGTGCGTCGCGATGCGCGAGCACAGCAGGCGGGGGGATGCGGAAGAGGAGGACGCTAGGAGGCAAGAAAGCAAGGCGAGGAGGGGGTACGGGCGGAGCTGGTCAGGCAGGCGGAAACGTGCTTGGGGAACTTCCCGCATTGACGGGCGGGCGGGCGGGCATAAGAGCTACGGGTGACGGGCGGGTTTTCCGCTTGGCGGGGTCGCGGGAAATTTAGCGGTCGCGGTGTGGTTTGGCTTTGGGGACTGCACTGTGCTGACCTGGCAATTCGGGCAAATATAAAATACTATAGTGGCTCGATTCACTCACGGGCAGCGTTGAAGTGTGTCGGTTCACAGTATCGACTGGACGGGACCAAAGATTTCGGACGAAAGGGTCAACAAGGTTTGGCAAGGGGTGAATGACGTGGCGATGAATCTCGGGGCAGATTCTGGAAAGAATTAGGTCGCCTTCAGAAGTTGGGACGACAACCGAAGTTTGGAAGGAGAGTAACTCTTCCTTTCTCTCGGGATGACAGTCTAAATAACGGGTATACTCGTGTTATTAAAGATCGAATAATCTTACAGTCCCCAAACCGAAGCAGTTTATAGAGACTCGACTACTCCGCCAATTTCTCGCTAAAACACACTGTTACAGTGCACGTTTAGGTGGAGACCTGGGCCTCGGCAACTGGTAAACTGTGAAAACAAACCCAGGGACTGCTTTTTGCAGGGTAAATAGGTGTACAGATTGAGAAACCAACTTTCTTGTCCAACTTCGGTTGTCGTCCAGACTTCTGAAGGCAATCTTTGGCAAGCACCGGCCGTGACTTGAGTACTCGACAGAAACTTTGCTGTTAGAAGGTACATAGAGGCTGCACTAATCAGCATGAGACTGCAAAGATTTATATGAGGCTGCAAAGACATTTTTATTATGGCAGTAAAACGATCCACACCATTAGAAAACAAGTGGCTTTATTCACTACTGATTCTCTCATTCAGTGCAGAGCTTTAACTTAACTCCACGACTGAAATTAACTGAACTCGAGAAATTTGTCTAGCCATATACAATGAGAAGGCAATTCACTTCTCAGCATCCCAACCAATTGCTCTGATGACCAATCCAAACCTGAGCAATTCACAGTGCATGTACATTACAGCATCACCAGCCCCACCACTCCCTCTTCCCTTGGCCTGAAGCAGCCCGTCTCTCTCTGAAAGCCGCCCCCTCAGACCTCCACCTTGCGGGCCCAGTCCCTAACTCCTTTCCTACACCTGACGGCCCCTCACCCACCCCTCTTCCACTGTCTTTCCTACCCGATCCAGCCACACCGACCCCAGAAGCTTCCACGCTGCTTGCCACACTTCTCCCACCAGCACCACCACCGCTTGCTGCTCCATTGCCTGTCCCTGACATACCTGCCGCTTTGCTCCTCCCCATGAGAGCCTTGAATTCCGGGCTTCTAGCCCATCTGTCCACCTCTCTCGCACGAAGAACCGGCAAAGGGTGTGCTAGCTGCCGCGTCTGTGCGTTCCGCAAGTACCAGGCTAGCGGCCCGCTATTAGCTGCCTCGTCATAAGACCTTGCTTGCGCCAAAAACGCGTCCACGCTCAGCTCTTCCGCCCACCAGCTGCCTCCGCCCTCACTCCCGCCAGCGCCAGCAGCACCCGCAGAAGTCCCCGCCCTAGCTCCCCCCATCCCGCCCCAGCCCCACTCATTCCCCCCAGGGCTTCCCCCGCGCGCCATCCCCCATCCGCTTCCGCCTCCGCTGGTGCTTCCGCCCGCCAGTTTCATCAGCACGGACACGACCACGCGGGGGTCGCGCACGACAACCAGCGCCGCGCGGTCGCACGTGAGCTCCGCCGCGCGGAGCCAGCGCAGCAGCTGGTCCTCGAGCCCGCGCGCGAGCATCGCGCCGAGGAATCCGGGGAGCGAGCTCGCGGCGCCGAGCGCGAGGAGATTAGCGAAGGTGAGCCAGAGCCCGTGCTCGCACTTTAGGTGACCCAGCTCGTGCGCGAGTACCGCTTGCACCTCCACCGGCGTGAGGAGGTCCAGCAGCGCCGTGTGCACCACGACGAACGGTTTCTGCCCGTTGATCGCGAGCGTGTACGCGTTAGGAACGGGGCTCTGCCGCACGTACAGGTCCGGCGGGGACGGCATATCGAGCGCGGCGGCGGCTTCTTCCATGAGAGCGTGGAGGGACGGCAGCTGCTGCGGGGAGACGAGAACCCCCGAGCCTAGATTCTCCAGCACGAGAATCTGCTCCTGGACCGGGCCTAGGAGCACGCGGCCCAGGTCGTTTAGCCCGGGAATTGCGCGCAGAAGCGCCGTGTTTTGGCGGTCGAGCGGGTGGCGGATGTCATCGGCGCGCAGCCCGCGGACCCGGTGGCGCGCGGAGGAGAGGTTGGCGGAAGGTGCGGAGGCGGAGGAGGAGGCGGAGAGTGAGGGGGGTCGACGGGCAGGTGAATTGGGTCGTGATCCGTCGGATGCTGACGTGGCGCTGTCAGATTCTGAGTCAGATGAGCTCGGTACCTGGTTGGTTTGCGAGACGCCGCTGCCTTGACCACTCGAAGGCGCAGCAGTCCCCCCTGCTGACCCCCCGATCGCAGCAACTATTAACTCACTGCTGCTGGCACGTCTCCCACCTTCCCAGTATCCTCGCCTCCCTGACCTCCCCCATTTTGCATGGCGGATCGGTGCTCGCTCCCATCTCGTTGCTGCTGATCTTCTCCCAGTCTCGCCGCTAGCGCTACCAATGTCGTACACCCGCCGTCTAAGGGGCACAGCGGATTGCGCCGCGCCTGGCGGGACAGATGTGCGCGATGGGGGAACTCTTGCGGAAGCACGGGGAAGTGGCGTAAGCGCATGAAGGTGCGTCGGAACAGCCATCGCGGCAGAGCGGCGGAGGCGGAGAGCTGTGCACGCAGGCACTAGGACCTAGAGGGCTCGGGAGAACTAGGAGGCAGCAGACAATACCTGCACGCACCCACTAGGAAACGGCTTCGGGACTGCGGAACGAAATAGCACTGATGGAAGTGCTATTTTTCCATCGGTTGAGTGTACAGTTGTTATGAGGTGGCGTTCCCTAAACACGTTAGGGCGTGGTACTTCTCACGAGAACTGCAAGAGTTCGAACGAAAACCACTCTGAACCGTAGTCAAAAGCACTGTAAGATACAGAAACGCCTAGAACCCCTTTACGCTCTTTCCGAACAAAATGTATCATACCCTAGCCGTGCGTACAATACAGTACACCGCCATTGCACAAGAGCAGACACAGCTGATGGTGTCTGAGTTTCCAGGCAAAGTGAGAACAAAATCTGCAACCTCCAGAATTGCCTGCCCGAAATTGTGATCAGCCAATCGGAGCACAGACAATTATCTGGCGATTGGGATTGCCTCCTTTGGTAAGCAAGGGCACAACGAGACACATCATTTCACCTTGCGATGACGCGACACAGCATTTGGGTGGACAGGAGAGGAACACAGGAGTGGTGGAAGCAGCGGATCCGGCCACGCGGCGAACACCAGTTGGGCAACCCCGAATAGAAAATAGCGTGCTACGGCGGCTTGGCAGAAATCCATCCAGGGATGTAAGAAAATGAGGAATACACGCATTAATGCTAGTCAATGAACACATATGAACACATTTAGAACCAATGCACAAGCACGCTTCCCTGCAACTATCTACCCATCGCGCCTTTCCCCATACCAGCACCGCCACCAAAGCCACCAGCACCAACGCCAGGAGCACCAAGAGGGGGGAGCAGGATAAACTGTCCTGGTTGAAATGTGCAGCCAAGATGTAGCAATTTAGTGTTCTCTATCGTCTCCTTGTCCTCCGCATCGCAGTACGATTTCATAGCTGTCTCCTGCTCCTCCTTGGTCAGCTGATGCTCCACCTCACGTAGCAAAGGTTCGTGCTCGTGCCACCTAGCAATCCACCTGAAAAACACCATGGTTGTGGGAGAGTGTGCGAAAACACGAAAGTTGTTGGGAAAGAATGAGCACAAACTTGGAGATTGAGAGGAAGAACACACCCTTTCAGTGTGCGTGCGTGATACTGACATGAGGGAGTCGTGGTGGGGCCACGGAGAAAGGTGGCAGTGGGGAAGAGATGACGAGTGGCATGGCACAGAGAAAAGGGGTGCAGGTGTTCAAGCATGGAGGAGGTAGCATGAGGCACAGCGGGGGAGAGTAACAGCGATTGAAAGGCCCCAAAGAGTTGAAGCCAGGGGAGAGGGAAAAGAGCACCCACTTTGCTTTGTGATCTGCGAGGATCTTCCTCATGATAGCATCTGCTATTTCCCCTTCTGCCTGCACTGGCCCGCGCCCCTCTCCTTCTCGCTTCTCGCCCTTCTCCTTCTCTCCCCGCTTCTCCCCATCCTTCTTCTCTCCCTGCTTCTTCTTCTCCCCCCCCTTCTTCCCCCCCTCCTTCGTCTCTCCCTGCTGCTTCTCTGCATGCCAGTCTGAGTGGTGCTGCTTGTGTGCCGGCGCACCAGCATCGTCGTCATCATCCAGCGTGAACAGCCCATCCAGGTCGCGGTCGGTGAAGTGCCGCACCACCTGCTGCTCGTCCACCACGCGCGCTGCTAGCCCCTCCTTCACCACCTGGAGAGGAGGGGAGGACGGGAAGGCAGAAGATTTAGACGGGATGGGGAGGAGAGCGGGCAAGAGCAGGGAGATGAGGCTGTCAAGTGCCGCTCCACCTGCTGCTCGTCCACCACGCGCGCTGCTAGCCCCTACTTCACCACCTGAGAGCGGGGGGTTGGGGAACTGGGGAGAGGAGGGACAGAGGGGAGAAGCAGAATAGGGTGGAGATTGGCCGAGAGGAAGGAGATGAATCTGTGAAGTGCCGCACCACCTGCTGCTTGTCTGCCACATGCGCTGCTAGCCCTTCCTTCACCACCTGAGAGAGGGAGGGTGGGCGGGGAACCAGGGAGAGATGGACAAGTGGAGCTGAGTCTGTGCAGTGACACACCGCCTGCGTTTGGAAGCGATTGCAGTGCAAGAGAGAGCAAGAAATTAGGGCGTATTCCTATGAACCAGGATCAGGGTCAGACTCGTGCGGTACTGTGCGGGGTGCAAGTGTTGGGGAGGGGAGGAGAGGGGAGGAGAGGGGAGGAGAGGGGAGGAGAGGGGAGGAGAGGGGAGGAGAGGGGAGGAATACGGGGTGCAAGTGGTTCATTTTGGTTCCGCACGAGTCTGATCCTGATCCTGGTGCAAAGGTAGGAATACGCCCTTGTAGCAAGAGAGAGCGTGTGAGGCAAGCGGCTTGCACACCTGTCGGTTGTATATCTTCTCTTCCATGGTGCCTGCTGCTAGTAGGCGGTACACAAACACCTCCTTGGTCTGGCCGTACCTGGAGGGGTAACCATGTAACGTGATGGACAGGGGAATGGGGGGACAGGGAGGTGAGGGGAGGAGAGGGGAAGAGAGGGGAGGAGAGGGGAAGAGAGGGGAGGAGAGGGGAGGAGAGGGGAAGAGAGGGGAGGAGAGGGGAGGAGAGGGGAGGTGAGGGGAGGAGAGGGGAGGAGATGCGCCTTGAGTGCACACACTGTGAGGGGAAGATTGATGGGCGGGAGATAGGCTGCGGTGGAGAGAGGTTGAGAAGGGAGGGATGCCAAGGCGTGCAAGCACACTTGCAAACTTGCATTCACTCGAACTCACAATCATGCTTTGACACTTCCCCTACCCCTCCCCCCTCCTCCTCCTGACATCCACCCACCTCCACACGTCCACCCACGGGAACATGGCTTGCAGTACCCACCCATCCAGCATACTCACACCATCATTCACACTTCCACACGCCCTCTCCCCCTTTCCCGTCCCCCCCTCCCCCACTCACCGCCACACGCGGAACATGGCCTGTAGGTCGTGCGCGGGGTTCCAGGACCCATCGAGCAGCACGACGCGGTTGGCGGCCACCAGGTTGATCCCCACGGAGCCCGCCCGTGTGGAGATGAGCACGCACCGCGCCTGCTTGTTCGTGCGCGGCTCGTTGAACCGGTTCACTATGTTCTGCCGACGCGCTGCACTTACTGACCCGTCGATCCTGAGAGGAGGGCATGGGGATGGGTGAAGCATACGTGGGCGGTGAGAGGCATAAGTGGGTGTTGAGAGGCATAAGTGGGTGTTGAGAGGCCCAAGTGGGTGTTGAGAGGCCCAAGTGGGTGTTGCGAGGCACAAGTGGGTGTTGCGAGGCACAAGTGGGTGGTTTTTGAGTTGAATCAAAAGTCACCTCGTTACAATGGCACAAGTGGGTGGTGAGAGGCAGACGAACGAGCACACAGTATGCATTCATGTGGAACGGGCATACCTGTACCAATGCACGCCTGCCATCCATTTGGTCCCCGCACCAGCAGCACCAGCAGCAGCACCAGCAGCACCAGCAGCAGCAGCAGCAGCAGCAGCACCAGCACCAGCACCAGCACCAGCACCAGCAGCAGCACCAGCAGCAGCAGCAGCGCCACCAGCAGCAGCGCCACCAGCAGCAACACCAGCAGCACCGGTTGGGTCATGCATGTCAGCGAGCAGCAGCTCGAGCAGGTCGAGCGTGAGCAGCGACTGCGAGAAGAAGCAAACAGCCATGAGAAGGAACATACCTGTACCAATGCACGCCTGCCGTCCACTTGGCGCCCACACCAGCACCAGCATCACCACCACCACCACCACCAGCAACCCCAGCACCCGGTGCCGGTGGGTCGTGCATATCAGCAAGCAGCAACTCGAGCAGGTCGAGGGTAAGCAGCGACTGCGAGAAGAAGAGCACTTTGTCGCCCAGAGCTGCCGCCTGCGTGAGTATGTCCAGCGCTAGGGTGAGCTTCCCACTCACCCCTAACCCGCCCTGCCGTATCGCCTCCTCCTCCTCCTGCCACCACGACTGGTGGAAGGGGGACAGGGGAGGGAGAACGAGAAGTAGGAGTGGAGAGGGGAGGGGGGGAGGGGAAAAGGGGGAGTGAGGGAGGGAGGTAGAGAATAGAGGAGAGATCAGTAAGTGAGAGAGGAGGAAGGATGCTGAGGGGCATCAAGGGCGGAAGGAGGCATGGCACATCAAACTCAATTCATCCATTGTATTAGATTGAGGCAGTGTGTACAGGCACTCTAGGATAACTCTAGGATGGCTGCGACTACGCCCATTCCACGTACATTGTCAAGGGCGGACACAGCAGCCGCAGCCGCAGCAGCAGCGGGTGTGGATAGAGGCGAGGCGGCATCAGCAGGCGTGTCGGCGTCTGCCTCAGGCTCCTCCGCCTCCTGGCGCCGCATGGTGAGGATGAACGGGTGCGTCCACACCTGGTGGCGGCAGGGGTGAGGGACGAGGGGTGGAGGGCGAGGGGCGAGGGGGTGAGAATGGTGCTACGATCCCAGCGTCTGCCTCAGGCTCCTCCGGCTCCTGGCGCCGCATGGTGAGAATGAAGGGGTGCGTCACACCTGGTGGCGGCAGGGAAGAGGGGTGAGGGGTGAGGGTTGAGGGTTGAGGGTTGAGGGTTGAGGGTTGAGGGTTGAGGTGTCTTTGTCAACAGTTCGATAACTTGTACATGCTTCCGCTCCCTCCTCACCCATCCCTTCCCCCCTTCCCTCCTCACCCATCCCTTCCCCCCTTCCCTCCTCACCCATCCCTTCCCCCCTTTCTGAAGAACATTCTGACGGATCCACCCCTGCATCACCCACCTTGGCAAGTGCAGCATACGAAACGAAGAGCATCCTCCTCTTGTCATCGGCAACCCCCACTGCTGCCGCCCCACCGCCAGCACCACCAGCACCACCACCGCCGGCACCACCGCCAGCACCACCAGCACCACCACCAGCGTCTGCTGCTTTCCTTCCCGAGGGCGAGAGCCGTCCACTAGAGCAGGCAGCGAGCTTGGGGGAGGTGCGAGGAGCAGAGGAGGCAAAGGGAGCAGAGGCAAATGTAGAGGGATGGGAGGAGACTGGGGCCGAGGCGGAGCCAGGTGGGTGCGGGCGAGGGGAGATGGGAGACGAGGTGCCAGGCGGCGGTGGGGAGATGGAGGGAGCTCCGTTGGGGGTGGGTGATGAACCTATTGCAGCGCCAGCAGCAGCGGCGGCAGAAGCTTTGGCGGCACCCACAGCAGCAGCACCAGCAGCGCCAGCAGCAGCGGCAGCGACAGCATTATTGCGGTACGCCAAGAAGCGGAGGTAGAGGTTGCGCTGCAGCGGGGAGAGGCGCACGGCGAGCACGTACACAAAGCGGTTGGGCAGCTCATGGGCCACCACATCCGCGGAGCGGCGCTGCACGAAACCCTTGAGCAGGTTCGCCAGCACGTACGAGCGCTGCCGCATCAACCTAACGTCGGACTTGTCCGAGTCTGATCGCTGCCCGTTGATTATGGGGTTCTCAAACCTGGGGGGTGGGGGATGAAGGGCGGGAAGGGAAAGGGATGGCAGACGGGATGGCGGAAAAGCGTGTGACCGGGAGGGAGTGGGAGGAGGAAGGTGGTTGTGAGAGGGTTGTCCACAATAGCACCAGCTCGTGCACCACGTCCACTGAGCAGCGCTACACGAAGCCCTTGAGCAGGTTCGCCAGCACGTATCGGACTTGTCGGAATCGTGGCGCTGCCCGTTCACTATGGGGTTCGCAAACCTGCAAGAGTGGGCTGTTGTTAGAGGGGAGGGGAGTGAATAGGGGTGCCAGACGCGCGCGCGCATCTCATTCATAGCCGTCTGAATCTGCCTTCTTCTCGTTCACTAAACCTGAACGATTTTTGAGGCGCCTAAAAAATCTGCCTGCTTCTCGCTCACTACAAGGCTCTCTGTTTAGAGGGGGGAACAGGCGGAAAGAGAGGGACCTTTGCTTGCCATCCCAAGCTCACCTGTTCTTAAACTCATGTGGCGTGCCGAGCGTGCCCTCTCGCACAAAGTCCACCATCTGACGTGGGGGGGGGGCCCAGGAGCGAGGGGGGGAGAGCGGGAAGTAGTGAGGGCTCTATTCTTGACGTGCCTCAAAACTAGATTCTTGAACTCATGTGGCGTGCCCAGAGTGCCCTCGCGCACGAAGCCCACCATCTAATGGGAGGACGGATTGAGGGAAGTAAAGTAGAGTGAGGGGGGAAGCGAGGGAGAGGAGGGAAGAGGAAAGATGGGAGTGGAAGAGTCTATGGGGCATTGAACAGAGAACTGGAAGGCACGTTGACTCCTATCCACTAAACCCCATATCCCCTCCAAACACCCTCCTCCTCCGCTCCTCTCCCTTTTAACTCACGCAGTAGTACTCAGTGAGGTTGTTGTGCAGGGGCGACCCCCCGAGAACAATGCAGCGCTCGGTGCATGCTTTAATGCACCTCGGCCCCTCCCCACTCAACCCACATCCCCTCCAGCCCCTCCTCTCCCTTTAACTCACGCAGTAGTACTCAGTAAGGTTGTTCTGCAGGGGCGACCCCGTGAGCGCAATGCGGCGCTTGGTGCGCACGCACTTGAGCGCGATGGTGGTGTCCGCCTTGTCGTTCTTGATCGTGTGCGCCTCGTCGCACACCAGGAGATCTGGACCGGGGTCCTGGAGAGGGGGGGGGAGAGGAGGAGGAGGGAGAGAAGGCAGGGGAAACAGGTGGAAGACAAGGTATATGGCAAGGAGAGAATGTAAGGCGGCTGTGGCTCTGGAAAAGAGCACCTGAGCGCGATGGACGGGTCTGCCCTGCAGGCAGCCATACCGGGGTCCCCGGGGGACACACTGGGGGTAAGTAAGGGTTCCTTGGAAAGAGCGGAAGAGTGACAAGTGGGAAGACGGACAGCTGGACGACAGGTGAAAATCCGTGGTTAAGTAGGTTAGTTTTGAGACTTCTCAAAACACACCAAGGAAACATGGAAAGAGCGGAAAAATGACAAGGGGGAAGACGGACGGCTGGGCGACAGGGGAAGAAGGGTGAGAACAGGGCAGCAGGTGGTGTGTGGGGGAAGTTGGGCTTGACTCTGTATGCGTATGCAACCCAAAAGACAGCACCCATGCCTGCATTTTTTAGGCGCCTCAAAAATAGACTTACCTGCAGGCACGTTCTAAAGGTCTGTCGGAGCTGCTCCTTCTGCACGTGCGTGCCCAGGCACAGCAGGCGGAACGCCTGGTAGCCGATCAGCATCACGCCGCCCCCCTCCTTCCACCGCCGCAGCTGCCGCGCCCTTTCCGCGTTCGTCCTGGGGGTTGAGGGGAGGGGACGGGAACGGATGCACTGACAGGTGAGAAACGGAGGAGGGGGGAGGACTGAGGAGAGGAAAGGAGAAAGAGAAACAGAAGAGCAAAGACGAGATGTGCAAGCAGAGGATGACCTGCCAGCATCGTCCAGGCTCCAGCCGATAGACAGGTGCCTTCACCTCCTCCCTCTGCTCCACTTCTGAGGCGCGTCCCGACTAGACGAGGGGGATACAGTTTTGAGGCCTCTCAAAACTAGACTCCTTCCTTCACCTCCTCCCTCTGCTCCACTTCTGAGGCGCGTCCCGACTAGACGAGGAGGATACAGTTTTGAGGCCTCTCAAAACTAGACTCCTTCCTTCACCTCCTCCCTCTGCTCCACTTCTGAGGCGCGTCCCGACTAGACGAGGGGGATACAGTTTTGAGGCCTCTCAAAACTAGACTCCTTCCTTCACCTCCTCCCTCTGCTCCACTTCTGAGGCGCGTCCCGACTAGACGAGGGGGATACAGTTTTGAGGCCTCTCAAAACTAGACTCCTTCCTTCACCTCCTCCCTCTGCTCCACTTCTGAGGCGCGTCCCGACTAGACGAGGGGGATACAGTTTTGAGGCCTCTCAAAACTAGACTCCTTCCTTCACCTCCTCCCTCTGCTCCACTTCTGAGGCGCGTCCCGACTAGACGAGGGGGATACAGTTTTGAGGCCTCTCAAAACTAGACTCCTTCCTTCACCTCCTCCCTCTGCTCCACTTCTGAGGCGCGTCCCGACTAGACGAGGGGGATACAGTTTTGAGGCCTCTCAAAACTAGACTCCTTCCTTCACCTCCTCCCTCTGCTCCACTTCTGAGGCGCGTCCCGACTAGACGAGGGGGATACAGTTTTGAGGCCTCTCAAAACTAGACTCCTTCCTTCACCTCCTCCCTCTGCTCCACTTCTGAGGCGCGTCCCGACTAGACGAGGAGGATACAGAACACCACGGATGAGCATGGAAGCAAGCAAGGGTCACGCACCTGCCAGCATCGAACAGCAGATACACCGGTATCTCCACCTCCCTCTGCTCCTGTTTTGAAGCACCTCACAACCAGAGAGGAATACCAAACACCAAGGATGGAAGAGCATGGAAGCAAAGACGAGGGTCACGACTCACACACCTGCCAGCATCGTCCAGCAGATACACCGGTATCTCCACCTCCTCCCTCTGCTCCTCCTGGCCGCCCTTCGGCCCAGACCACGACGCTGGCCCTGCCAATCCAACCCCCGCTCCCACTCCCCCTCCTACCCCCCCTCCTTCTCCCCTTCCTCCTCCCTTCCCTCCTTCTCCCCCGGCAGCAGCACCGCTCCCAACCACTGGCATCCACCTGCGGAACTCCTCCTTCCAGTTGTGCAGCACGTTGACAGGCGCCACCACGAGCACGGTGCGCAGCCCGTGCTGGTGGAACTGGTTGAGAACCGTGTGAACGAAGGTGATCACCTGGAGGGTCTTCCCCAGCCCCATGGAGTGCGCCAGGATGCACCCGAACCCGGGGTCGCCGCCCTGCACCAGCGCCATGCTGTGGATGCAGTTCTGCCACATGAAACGCACGCCCTCCACCTTAGATAGGAAATGAGTAGGGAGAAGCGAGGGGGGGAGGCAGGCAGGCAGGAAGGAGGGAAGGGTTGTGAGTAAAGCCATGCCATAGCCAGGTTTGCCGCCCTGCACTAGCGGCGGCATGCTGTGGATGCAGTTCTGGAACATGAAACGCACGCCCTCCACCTGAGAGGAAAAGAGCAGGCGCGGGGGAGACAGGAAGGAGGGAAAGAGCAGGAGAGCAGGGATGAGGCGTCAAGAGCAGCACCCAAAGCCCAGGGCCTCCGGTACGGACCAGAGCCATACTGTGGATGCAGTTCTGCCACATGAAACGCACGCCCTCCACCTGAGAGGAAGGGGAAGAGGGGTGGGGTGAGGCATGAGCCGAGAACATTGCAGGCAAACCCCGGGCTGCCGCTCTCGACACGAGTGAGCCATGCTGTGGACACAGTTCTGCCACATGAAGCAAACACCCTCCTTCATCATATCTATACCTGCTCCCTCCCTCCGTCTTTCATACCTGGTGGTCCTTGAGTGACTCCGAGAGGAAAGGATGGATGCGCACGGCAGGCTCAGAGAGCGCCCGCAGCTTATTGATCACCACACCCGTCCATCATACCAATACCTGCATCATACCCGTCCATCACTCCGTGCATGCTCCCACATTCCTTCATCATACCAATACCTGCTGGGCTGCTCCCTCCGTCGTTCATACCTGGTGGTCTTTGAGTGACTCCGACAGGAAGGGATGAATGCGCACGGCAGGCTCAGACAGCGCCCGCAGCTTATTGATCACCACACACCCGTCCTCCTGCACCTGCTCCTCCTCCTCCTCGTCCTCCCCGCCCTTCCCTTCCTCCATCATTCTCCTGCGCCTCCTCTGCCTCCACAGCGGCTGCTCCTTCATCTTCTCCCGCTCCTCCCTCATCCTCCGCCACTCCTCCTCCTGCTCCCGCCGGCGCTGGTGGGGGGAGGCACGTGGGGAGGTGGGAATGGGGGAAGGGGGGATGCATGAGAGGATTGGGACGTGAGGATTTGAGAAGAGAGGGTTTGGTAGAGGAGGGTAAGAGCAGGAAGCAAGGAAAGAAGGAAGGAGTGCACAAGATGGGAAGGAGTAAAACGATATAAAGACGGGAGAATAAGGAGGATGTGTGAAGGGGGAGAGGGAGGGAGGGGGGCAGGGCAGGGAGGGCAGAAGGGCAGGTAGGCAGCATGTGCGTTACCCGTTCTCGCTCCAGCGCCTGCTGCGTCTTGGCTCCCAGCTGATCATCGCTTATGATCTGCGCCCGCCTCCTGCGCTTGCTGCTGCCAGTGCCACTGCCGCCAGCAGGGGCAAATGGCCGGGGGATAAAAGGGACAGTCAGGGGAAGGGGAAGGGGGAGGGGAAAATGAAAGGGACAGTGGGCTATGGCATACGAGACATCACATGAGCGAGGCAGCTGGGCATGACAGAGTTTCCAGCACTAAGCAACACCACAAACTCACCCCTCAGCGTTAGTCTCCTCCCCCCCCTTCTCCCTGCCCTCCTCCCCTCCCTCACCCCCCACCTTCTCCTCACCCCCACCCCTCTCCGCACCCGCTCCCCTCTCCTCTCCTCTCCCCTCCTTCTCCTTCTTCCCCCACACCCCCCTCGCCGCCCTCACCCCCCTCCGCGCCACCACTTTGGCCCCTTCCGCCTGCAGGCTCCCCAGAGGCCCAGCGTCGCAGCAGAAGCACTTCCACGGATTCCCCCCCTCCGCGTCAGAGCTCTCTATCCTTCTGTACTCCGCAGCACCGAAGTTCCTGAGGATGCAGCTGCGGCAGAACGTGTAGCGGCAGCCAGGCGTGTCACAGAGCAGCAAGTGCCCTCCTAGCCCGCACCAGTGGCACTGCTGCTCTGTGCCGTCCGATTGGTCAACAGAGAAGGTCACGTTGATTCGTGACACGTGGCAGGCGCGGCAGAGGGGGACTGACAGGGTGCTATGCACACGGGCCTTCTTGGCTGGTGCTTCCAGCCCGCATACCGTGCAGCGGATCACACACTGCTCCTCCTCTTCCGCCTCCTCCTCCTTCCCACCCTCCTTCATCCCCTTCGTCTTCCCTGCCCGCGCCACAAAACCTGATCCCTTCACTGCATCCTGAGCCGCCCCCCTAAGGTCTGTCCTCCTAGGCGTCTCCCCAACCACGATCACGTCGTCCGACTCTTGGCTGTCGACGTCCACTACCTTGTCATCCACCTCCATCCTACTGCCATGATTGCTGCCGCTAAGAATCACCTCCACACCCTCACTGTCGCTGCCCTCGCTGCTGTCACTGGACACCACCAGCACCACCCGTGGCCGTTTTCTCTCCCTCTCCTCCTCTCCCTCCCCGCTGCCCCCCTTGCTCTCCCCAGCAACCTGTGCTTTCCCTGGTGACGTTTTCTCTGCTGCGCCCTGCTTGCCATTGACAGCACCCTCTTTTGCCCCCTCCTGCCCCTGCTGCTGCTGCTTCTGCCTCTGCTGCTGCCGCTTCACCCGCTCCCGGACCCTCCTCCTCGCTCGCTTCATCTTCTTCTCATCGTCCTCATCGCCAATCTGAACGCCAGCACTCACACATTCACACATTCACACAACAAAGGGAACAGTGTGAGTATCACCACAGCACACTTCCCCCATCACTCCACCAACCTCCTTAATCCCCCCTACCCATCCCCACTAACCCCTTCTTCTCACCTTAACCATGCTGGCGATCTGCTGCGGCGTGAGCCCCGTCTTCCCTTCCTCCATCACCGCCATAGCAACCTTCACCTCCTTCTCCACCTTCAAATCAGCTATCTCTTCCACCTTCGCGTCTAACTCCAGAGCGGCCGCATCACTAGGCGTCCCTGCCGCATACACCCTCAGCGCCTCAAACTCCGGCCGAGCAGCCACAGCAGCTGCTGCCGCGGCTGCTGCTGCCGCTGCTGCTGCAGCAGCAGCTTTGCTGCTCTTCCTTCCTTTCCCTGCGCCCCCCCCAGCGGCCGCTGCTGCCGCTGCGGCTGCTGCTGCAGAAGCGCTGGCGAGAGAGACAGCTTTAGCCACGGCTGAATCGAATACGTTCCATGTCTTGAGCACGGCTGCCGCTGCTGCTGCTCGTGATGCGCTTTGTCGCTGCCCTGCTCCAGTTGCTGCTGCTGCTGCGGCTTCTGCTTCTGTCTCCTGTTTTTTACAACTCACACCTGCACCATCCTCATTGCTGTCCGCATCAGTAGCTGCAGCGGCTGCTGCTGCTGGTCCTGCTGCTCCTGCTGCTGCTGCTGCGTCAGCCGCTGTTGGCGTGTCTGCCTGGAGGGCGTCAGTCGCAGCCTTAGTGGCTGCGTCGACCATCTTCGCCTCACAGTCGTGCAACAGGTGCTCCAGATACCCACTCGCTCCAAACGCCGCAGGCCCGCCGTTCTTTCTGCAATGCCAAATAGGGGAAGGAAGCGAAAAAGGAGCAGGCAGGAGGTGACGGGGGGGTTGAAAGAGCGTGAACACTGATAGATACCAGGAGAGAACCGTGCAGTAGAACTTGCAGACTAGGAAACGAAAGCAGTGCCGTGAATCTTGCCGTTCCATCTGCAGTGAATCTTGCAGTTATGCATAGGTTCGCCGAAAAGGGGCGCTTGGAAAAGAGACGTCCAGAAAGGCACTGATATCCAGACCAGGAATGCCTCTCCCCTTCTTTCCAATTTCAAGCTTAAAGCCACGCATCACTCAACAAATCCTCATGTCAAAAGGGTGCTGGTCAAACTCACTCTAACACCGGCCGCGCCTTGGATAGAACCTTCTCAGCAGCCCCCACCCAATCCGCCTCATCCTCCTCCTCCTCCTCCTCCTCCTCCTCCTCATCCTCATCCTCCTCTTCCTCCTCACTCTCTCCCCCTCTCCCCTCTCCCTCCTTCCCCCCCTCGTCCTCCCGTTTCCTCTTGCCCTCCCGCTTGCTCCGTCTCCGCTCCGCCGCCCGAGCCTCGGCCCTCCTCCAAGCCTCCCGCTTGCGCCGAGCCTCAGCCTTGGCGGCGTTGCGCTTAGGGTCAGTGATCCAGTGCGAGCGCTCCCTCCACGCGGCCGTGCGTGCTGCTGACGACGTGTGGGCCTCGATGAACGCGTATATGGCCGGCAGATCAACGCCGGGAACAGCGTCCAGACACTCCTGGGGGGGGGGCAGGGGAGAGGATAAGGCAGGGGAGAACCGTAAGGCAGACGTTGATGGGTAGGGGGAAGAGGAGGGAGGAAGGAGGAAACAAGAAGCTTTGAGGCGCCTCAGACCGCATTGAGTCATGAGGTGCTCGGCGACACAATCCAGTGCGAGGGCTCCCTCCACGCACAGTTATCAACGCCGGGCACAGCGTCCAAACACTCCTTGGGGGGAGGACGGGAGGGGCGATGGAAGGGGCGACGGGAGGGGCGAAGGAGAAGGATGCCGATGGTGAGGGACTAGTGCACACACTCAGTAATGCGCAGCTAGCATAACCAAGTGACACCCTGGAGTAACCAGAAAGGGGCATAGTGGCACAAACGCCTTGGATAGCAGGGCGTGTTGGAGGAGACTCAGCAGGGCGTGAGTGAACTCTGCTGGTTTAAGCTCACCTGTGCGCCTCTCACGTGAGCCCCTCTCACCTGCGCCTCTCTCACGTGCGCCCCTCTCACCTGCGCCTCGGATGTCTTATCAAGCAGCGCGTTGAGCTCCCTCTCCCACATCTCCTGCAACGTCGCCATCCGTGAGGAGTCTATTTTTGAGGCGCCTCAGAAATAGGCTCTGCTGGTTTAAGCTCACCTGCGCCTCGGATATCTTATCCAGCAATGCATTGAGTTCCCTCTCCCACATCTCCTGCAGCGTCGCCATCTCCTCGTCCACCAGCACTGCCACCTGCACGCACAGGGGCGGGAGGGGGGAGAGCGGGTGGTGGATGGAGAGGGTGTAATTCGAGGGGTTTATAATAGCACACCAGGATACGTAGCTCGCCGAACACAGCATGACCCAGCACCACAGATTCTACACACCACGTCCCAAAACTCCCTCCCTCCAGCTGCATCTAGCCCCCCATTCCCTACCCTCCCTCCCACCACCCCCCTTCCCCCTTTTACCCTTCAACTGTCCCACCCGTCCGTCCTTCCCCCCTCCTTTCCTCCCCGCACGCCGGCCTGGTCGGGGGAGCCGTGGGGAGGTGAGGAGCGGATCTCCTCCACTACATTGGGCCGCACAGCAGCCAGGGATCTCCTGCTCAAGTAACTCGCGCGCATCAACCCTTTCCCCTTTCCCCTTTCCCCCTCTACCCTTCCGCGCTCCTCACCTGGTCGGGGGAGCAGTCGGGGCGCGAGGAGCGGATCTCATCCGCCACATTGCGTCGCACAGCAGCCAGAGACTCCTCCTCCAACGACTCTTGCGCCTCTGCCGCCTGTCGGGTATTAGAAATGATAGGAAAACGGTTCATCTGCGTACGACGACTAAGTAGAGCCCTCTTGCGACCACCACGTATTCGACTTTAGCGCTGTATAAAATGGTTGCAGTCATGATTGGAAGAACGAAAGTCGCACACAAAGCGCACAACCGTCGCACGCACCTGTTCCTCCAGCAGAACCAGGTGGTCCACCAACGCCTGCACCTCGTCGTCCGTCCATGGCCCCTCGCGATCCTGCCAACGACAGATATTTCGCAAGCACGTCGCAAATACGTCGCAAGCACGTCGCAAGCACGTCGCAAACACGTCGCAAACACGTCGCAAGCATGCACGCAAATGTACGCGAACAGGGTGAGCGTAGAAAGGAGGAGCCTTCAACAGCTAATGAGCCTGGAGACGTGAAAAAATGGGCATTAAAACAACCAACACTATTCCACCTTCACATGAAGCTCCACTTACCAATGCCGCTCTTACTCACCGACAATGGCGACCCTTTAGAGCCCTCCTTCGCCGCCGCCGCCGATGCCTCTCCCTCCGCGTCGCTGCCGTCCTCCAGGTCCACCTCCTCGTCCCTCTCCCCCTCCTCCTCGCCTTCCTCGTCCGCCTCCTCCGCCTCCTCGTCGCTCTCACTCCCCCCCAGGTCGCTCCCGATATCGTCGTACATCACCTCCTCGTTCTCGCCGTCTGCTGCTGCCATCGCCGTCGCTGACACTGTCGCAGTCGCAGTCGAAATCGCAGTCGCCGTCGCCGGTAGGGACTAATGCATTCGGCGCGCGCCGGAAAGGTCGGGTTTTACTGACGCGGCTAAAGATGGTTCGGCTATATCGCCGTCGTTGTGGAAACGATTCGAAATGCCAATATTCGAGGTTTCTGCACAGTCGGAAGGATTGAACCAATGGCGGCAAAATCAGGCGGAAAGAATGAGAACGGAACGGAAGCGCTTCCCATTAAGCTGTTGAAGGGTGAGAAACACGAGGAGTCTTCAGAAGAACACGATATCAAGTTTACAAGCACATACCGTCGCGATAAATTTGTGAAGGTCTAACATGAGACGACGCCCGCGTAAAAATGTGTTTTTATAAATAGCAGAGCTAAGCATATTATCAAACTGCAGAAACCTGAATATGGGCTTTTAATCGACGGCGTCGGCTTTGTTCATACCTGAACCGACAGCCCTCAAGCACAGAGATTCCGCCGATGTGGTGAAACGATATGTTTGTATGAGCGACGAGCGGACGTCCGAGAAAGCTAGAGTAGGTACAAGTGACTCGCTAGTTTTATACGAACGGAGCGCGGGACTCGTCGAGCGAGAACCAACTCTAAGGCTGCTGCTGGGACGATGCTGAACGAGAACAAACTCGAGGGTTGTGCTTCTGTCGCTGCTTCAAGGTTATGAAAGTATGATGAATGGCCCCCAGTTCTGCTTACATAGCACAGCATGACAGCATTTAGAGAACGGGGGTGAGCTGAGCAGGGCACTGAGCAGCCTGACACATAACACAACATCCATCACCCGCAGCCTTAGGATTGGATGAGATGGATGATGTTGGGACAAAGCGGCGGGGAGGGATGGAAAGGGGTGATGGGAATAGCATGGGAGAAGTTTCCTGTGCTATTTGAGCTTCCGAATGACGATTTCCTGAATTTGAATTGGCGCGATGCGCCGCGTTGAAAGTGACGCGCTGCTATCACAACGAAAGACTGCACTCTTCAACCTAACAATGGCTCGCATCACATTTCAACTCATATTTCAAGTACCATGAATAACTGAGGTACAATATCGTATATTGGAAAGTGAAATTCTCCCTGAAGGAATAACAATTACAAAACGTAGACAGAGCTCCTCTCTGAACATTGCAAATGTTTTATTCCCACAGAATCTGAAGTTACGAATGGAGCCTCTTGCATTTACTGTGCTCCAACAGAGCCAACGGCGTGTGCCAGCGACAGCAACATCAAGCAGCTAGCAGGCAGCCAAAACACAAGCTGGCAGCTCACCATGCAGGCTTGTGGGTTTGTGAGATTGTGCCAAGTCAGCCAACAACACTCACTAGCCAAGCAGGTATCAGAAAGAATAATTGAACTAGAATGTGTGAGTACAAGGGTATATAGACTAGGGTGTTGTACCCTCTAAGGCACAATCCAGTATAGTCCACAGTAACGACCTAAGTTACATTTGACACACCCCCTAGACTATATAGGGGCAGTGCCTTTCAGGGAAAGAAGCAGCTCAGGGCGGCACTACTAGTCCAGCCTCTAAGGCAAGGGTCGAAAGACCAATCAAAGGAGTACAGACAAGACAAGCGCAAGACCAGGGCGGCACTACTAGTCCAGCCATTGGGAGAGGCCACACGGCCAGTCAAGGTAAAATGTATAAATATAAAGGACAGTACAAAGTCAAGGCCCTACCAAGTGAGAGGCTACAGGAACGAGACCTAGCTATACACAGTGCCGCTGATGATCTTTAGGCGCAAGCGCCTTAGTAAAGATATCAGCTGTGTTGGCACCGGAGGCCGAGTGTACTACGCGCGCCTGGCGGCGCTGCTGGAGCTCACGCAGGAGGAAGTATCGCAGCTGGATGTGCTTCGCTCTGCCCTCGAGTCAAGGCTCCTGACACAGGAGGATCATGGCCCTGTTGTCAGCGTACAGAACCGGGGCAGAGCTAGGCCGCTCACCTAATTCAGTGAGCAAGAAGGTCAGCCAACGGAGCTCCTATGCCGTCATGGCACCGGCGTAGATCTTGGCCTCACAGCTGGACTGAGCAACAAACGAGGAGCGGGTAGCTCTCCACGAGACGGCACCTAAACCAAGGCTGAAGCAGTAGCCCTGCGAGGACCTGAGGGTCTCGGCGTCGTCTGCCAAAGAAGCGTCTGTGTGTCCAGTAAGGACCACTGGCCTGCGTCCTCCTAGCACTAACCCCATGCCCGATGTACTTGCAAGATAACGCAAAACCCTCTTAACGGCAGACCAGTGCTGAGGTCAGTGTCTGCCTCTAGCCACAAAGCGAGCCAGGATGCTGAGAGGGTATGCGAGATCTTGGCGAGTGCAAGTCATCAGGTACATTAGGCAACCCACCAACTCTGCGTAGGGACCACTGGGCTCTGCTGACTCCTCAGGAACTGGAGCGGAGAGCCTGCGGTCTAGAGGCAGAGGAGTGGGTTGTGCGGAGGAGAATTGAAGGCCGAACCTCTGAAGGACCTGGCGCACCAAGTGTGACTGAGTCAAAGTGATGGTGCGCGCTGCTCTGTCCCTGGAGATCTGCAAACCAAGGTAGTGGCGCAGCTCTCCAAGGTCAGTGCAAGTGTATCTCTTCAGCAGCCCTGCCTTCACAGAGGTCAGTGCGTCCCTGTCTACTGTGGCGAAGACCAGGTCGACTACGTAAACAAGGATGTAGAACGGGGTCTGGCCAGCACGAACGAAGAGCGAGGGGTCTGCAGAGGACGGAAAGAACTGCAAGTCAGCAAGCGTAGCACGCAGCGTGTCGTGCCACTCACGGGGAGCCTACCGCAGGCCGTAGACGGGGCGCGGCAGGAGCCACTGGGTCCCAGGAGGGAAGATACCAGTGAAGCCCTGAGGGCGGCGTAGGTAGACCTGCTCGTGTAGACTGCCCTGAAGAAACGCAGTGGAGAAGTCGAGGGAGTGAAGCTCGTAGTCACGAAGAGTTGTTACGCGTAGCAGCACCCGAAGAGTACTCATCTTCGGGGTCGGAGCGAAGGTCTAGAAGAAGTCCACCCCCTCCCGCTGACTGAAACCTCTAGCCACGTAGCGCGCCTTGAACACAGGCGGCTCTCCATGAGGGCGCTTCACCTTGAAGAGCCAGCGGCCATCGACTACGTTCACCCCAGGTGGGGGAACTGCGTCGACGTAGGTGCCGGTGGATCTCCAAGATGCCATCTCCTGCTCCATGGCCGCTATCCACTGAGGGGCCCAGGGTCCCGAGACCGCCTCAGCGTAAGTGCGAGGGGTCGGGATGTCAAAAGCGTCGGGGTCACCCTGAGAGACTAGAAGCATAGAGCAGAGATGGGGAGCAGCCTCGGACATGAAAGCAAGCTCGTACTGGTGGTCCTCCAGGACGTCACTGCCGAGGGCAGGAGCACCCCCAACAGACGGAGGTCAAGCAGGGTCAGAGACCAGAGCGGTGGCGTAGTCAAGGCGACGGGTAGAGGCGAAGTCAGCGACCGCAGCGACAAGGGCGTCAAGGCTCGAAACCGGAACAGACGGGTCGGTAACGAGAGAGGCAAGGACCCGAGGAACAAGAGGACGAGCGGCCACAGGTAGTGAGATAGAGGGGGGGGAGCAACGACAAGGGAGGACGGAGGGGGCGGCGGGAGAAGGGGAGGACGAGACGCGTGGGAACGACGCAACATAGGGTGAGAGCGCGAGACAGGGGAGACAGGTCGAGCACGGGAGGGACGGCGAGACTCGACGTGAGACGGAGGAGTCGGGTAAGGGGATAGAGGAGGGGGCACAAGAGGGGAACGAGGGGGGAAACGGGCCGGAGACGAGTCCGGAGGAGGGAACACAGGGCCGTAGACAGGAGGAGGAGGAGGCACAGGCACGGGGTTGGGGGACGGAAGGCCGAGCAGGCGAAGAGCGGACACCGGCGGGGACTGCTGCGGCGGCGGTGTGACACCGACATCGGGACCGCAAGCTGCCTGGCGGTACCTCCAGAACACTCCACGCTAGCACCCCCAGAAGGAACACCCCTAGAGCTCAGAACCCCTCGAGCACCAGTACCACCCCCAGGCCCGCTGGGACAAGCCACGACAGGAGTCCCAGGACTAGTACCCACTCCAACTCCAGCACCCCCAGAGGCAACGAACTGCTGCGGCGACGGATGCGGCGGCGGCGGCGGCTGCAACGACAGCGGCGGCGGCGGCGGTGACGACGGCTGCAACAGCGGTGGCGACGGCGGCTGCGGAGGCGGCGGAGAAGGAGACACCTGAGAAGGGGCAGGCAGCGAGGACTACGCCGCAGGACCACCAGAGTCAGCAGACTCCTCAACCGGGACAAGCGACGTAAGTGGCGTGACGTGGGACACACCAGAGGGGGCAGGACGGGGAGGGGGAAGAGGAGGGGCGGCGACGACCGGGGAAGGGGTGACCAGGAACAGGGGGGGAGTAACCGGGGGACCTCGGTGGGGGAAGCGGCAGAAGAAGGAGACGGACTCGTCAAAGGTGACGTCACGGGAGTGAAAGAACCGGTGAGATGGCGGGTGGTAGAAGTGCCAGTCAGACGCGTCAAGGGGGAAGCCGAGGAAGACACAGGGAAGGGTGTGGGCAGTGAGCTTGTCCGTGCCAGAGGCACGAATGTAAGCAAGGCAGCCCCAGACGCGAAACGCAGACGGGTCACCAAGTGACCCAGACCAGAGGAGGGTCGGCGAAACCTGAGGCTGCTGGGGGTGCGGGCACAAGTTAAGCTGGTGAGCGGCGTAGCGAACGGCGAACGGCTACAGAAAATGGGGTGCCCCGGCATGGATCATGGAGGTGCGAGCCACCTCCATGACCAAACCGATGCGTCACTCATCGACCCCATTCTGCTATGGGAAGTCCGGCAACGTGAACGTCTAGGTGATGCCCTCCGCACGACAGAAACGACCAAGGACACCAGAGGCAAACTCGCCACCACGGTCGGAGTGGAGACGCAAGACAGGGAGACAGTGGTGGACATGCGCAGAGACAAGCCACGGGATAAGAACGGCAGGCACGTCGGCCTTCCGCTTCAGGGGGAACACAGTGGTGTAGCGCGTGTAGTCGTCGACAAGCACTAGGAAGTAGCGCTCTCGACGTGGCCCATGGACGGGGGCGGGGCCCCAGACGTCCATGTGCAAAGTCTGTAGCGGTGCTGCAGTAGGGGGAAACGAGGAGGAGTGAGGGGCACGGCAGAGCCGGCCCTCGACACAGGGTGTGCAAGGTGGGGCTGGGGAGGAGGGAAACTCGGGGAACGACCCAGGGAGGCCTAGGACGAGACTGTGCTGTGACATGTGACGCAGACGCGGGAGCGCAGCGTGACCTAGGCGGTGGTGCCAGAGAGGAGTCGGGTGAGTGAGAGACCCACAGGAGCAGGCAGCAGAAACCGGGGGAGACGCAGTCACCTGAGGGGGGGTCCAAGCTGGGGGGGTCACCGTGTCCAGTGTGAAAAGACCGGAAACCGGGTCCCGTGGGAACGTGGACAGGGGGGCACTAGTGGCGGCCTCGGTACAGACAGCGTACCGCTCGTGTCCAGGGAACATAGTGGTGACGCCAAGGTCCTGAAGGCAGCCGACACCAACTAGGTTCCTGGAGAACGAGGGGATGTGCAGTCCTGTGAGCGAGCCTGAAGGAATCGCCGGGCAGGGTAGGGTGGTGGAACTGCGGGCGACTACTGGGCTGGAGGAGGGGTCAGCAAGAGAGACTGC